CTTATATTACACGCATTCAAAAAAGTACTCTACTACCGCGTTACGAAAAAATGGGGGTTTTCGCGATAAAGGAGGTACCCCCTGTCCGGCTGAAAATATGGGGTCTACGTTGTAGACCCATTGTACAGCTCTCGTAGAACTCTACACAGGGTTCATGTGGAGCTCTACTTGCTATTGGGGAGTTAGCATCCGAATTGCCGCCCTTTCTAACTTTTGCTAAAATCACTGCCTCAAGACTTGGTCTAAACCCTTATTCATTCAATTTTAGCTCCCAACTGACGTCTTCATCAAATGCTTTGGAAATGTATATTTTTAAATGTTATTCTTGTGGATTCTCTGCATATTTGGCGCTTAACAGGTTATATAGGCTATACACTTGGTAGAGATGATTAAACGGTTCAATCCTTTTCGTGTGCATATACGTTACTTCATCTTTATTAATATTGTGGCAAAGTTATAAATTTATGGTCCACTGTTCTTATTTTCAAAGGGTGGTGTAAAGGCTGTATTTCTAATGACATTTTCAGTCAAACGTTCCGCTCACCCAACCTCGGGATGTTAAAATAACTACTATTTCCTGCCACGTTCGTTTTTAATCTTAATTATTGTATGTAAAAAACGTTTACGTCTAGCGGCCACAGTTAAAAGACGCCCCCTGCATTTATATAACCACACCCATGCTCTTCTTTCAGTTTATGCTTTTGTACAACGTCCTCGAAGCCTCACCTTTTGGGGCCACATCTTTTAAATGCATTTCTTTATGATAAAACTTTCTTATTAACGATCGGTTAACATATAGCTAGCTGTAGTGTTTGAAGTCAAAAAGCCACAGTAGTGCGCAAAGGAGAACTAGCAGTGTTTAAGACAATGCCCCCCCACCCTGATGAGTAGTTTTTTGCAAAATATAGCTACTCATGAGTAGGTACTGCGAAAAATAAATGATTGCAATGGAAATTGCCATCAGTAGTTCGACGGCAAACGCAAAAACAAATGTTTATGTTTCCGAAATAATTTCTGTTTCTCTCTCCTCTCTCTCCCTCTCTCTCTCTTTATATATTATAATGCGTTTTCGGGTCGAACGTATTACTGGAGTATCGTTTCAATATTTAATACCGGATAGCCTAATCCCGATGTGTTTAATTCAGCCAGGAAGTCGGCTCTGGGACGGGCCTCTTCCTGACCGCTAACAAAAGTATTTAAAGGACTATTTAGGTAGTACTAATTCCCTCAGTTATTTTTAAATAAATTCAAGTATATTTTATAGAAAACATGCATAAATATTCATTCTTGTACTCGGTTTTTAGCAAATTGATCTGCTTCAAATCTGGTACTTAAAGGAGGGGAAATATTTTCTATGGTATTTTTAAATTCATAGAATGCCCATTCATAAAGCAGCCTATTCGTTCATTTATCAATGCTGTTGCTGATAAATAATAGAGTATGGTCTACATGCAGTACAAAATTTTCTGACCTGTAGCTGACGTCTTTCTCATGGCGTAAAGGAATCGGGATTTTTCTTAAACGGAATGCATACAGCACGCAATTTGGAAACCACAAATGCGTGTGTGACGGCAAGTCTGAATCAAACTTAGTTGGAAATTGGAAATTTTTTGTTAAAACCGAACGATATATCTTCCTCAAGTATACAGCTTCTAAAAGGCGTAATTTGCTACCAAATTCATCAACAGAGTTGTAAGTCCATTTGGGCAATCCTTCGCCGTCGGGCTTCACGAGTTAGGCCACCAACAATACGTCACATGATGCAAAATTTGAAGATGCTCGATGCGGTCCCGTCCCAAAGCAAGCGTTTTCTGACCATTTCATTTTTTATTCTTCACAAAACCTCCCCTCAAACAAATGCAATTACTAGGATAGATACTAGGTAGATACTTTGGCACCTTTTTCAGAATGCGCACTGCCTATCCAATGGGAGTCCTCCTTAAAAGTATTGTACGAGGCTGTTCTCAGGGTTAATGCAGAATTCAAGTTATGCTTACTATTAGGAGATTTTGGTAGATTTGGATAATTCATTTGACCGAGTTGTGATTAAACTCACGGTTCCCAGTGCGGGCCTCGTAACTCAGTTGGATAAAACGTTGGCTGTACTAAAGTCTTCCCACTGCTGATGTGGATTAGAATTCTACCAAAGCTGTGGAGTTATTATTATTAGCAGTTTTCCTTGCAGGTTATGACAGAGCTGCTGACTGTTTTACGCTTTAGAAGTTGGGCAACGATGGTGCTTCCGAAAACTTGTGGTATTCTTTTATCCCGAACATCTTAACAAAGTTCGATTTGCCTTGCGTTTACTTAGTTCCTGATACTAGTGGAGGTCGCGCCGATGCTTGTACTTTTTCATATGAACACCGCTTAGATTTTTACCATCGTTTCCTTCGTATCAAGTAACTCCATAGAGCCATTATTAATTGGTATGCATAAGACCTG